ATGAAGACAATCAAGTCTTAGAGGCCTATTAATATTAGGTTGTTTTACTGCCTAGCTTCACAAACCATAATCAAACTTCAAAATTTGCATACTCGTGCTCATTTCCTCTTTTTCTTTTTCCCCTGTAATTTTTAGATTCTGGGTCCCCGGAGAATCTAGATTCCAGATTGCCGGAAGTCAACAGTTTTATCGGAACCATCATCTTTTTGCCTTTTCCCTACACACAATTTTACAGTCATTTCTACCAGTTAGGCTAACCAAGATTCTTTCAGCAGATCAGCATGAACCAAAACCAGGAATTTAACATCCATATTGGCCCTTTTTTTAATTCCTCCTGATAAAGTTAATTTTTCTTTCTTTTTCTTTTGGAATATAGTACTTATTAGTATATCTTTCAAAGCGTTTTAATTTCCCCTGAAACTGAAAATGAAAGTGGCGAGATTCTTTTTCCGGGGGGAGGGGGGCAAATAACATCCCTTTCTCACTTTCATACACTAACCGTTAGTGTCACATCTCATTAATAAAACGATAATATTTCAAATTAAATTAAAAAATAATTAATTAAATATTATCATTTTACTAACGACGAATCGATCATTTTGAGACAAAAAAAAATACTTGTACTATATTTCTAAGTTATTAGATTTACCGTATGTAATGATCCAAAAACAACATGACGTTACAAACAAAAATCATGATAGAAGATTTTCCTCATTGGAGTACACTGTGTTGTGATCGTTGCTTTCCATAAAGAACTTACGTCTTTTGCTTCAGTGGAGCACCGTTTGATAAGAGTGGTTCATTTACATAATTTGATGATCATGATATACGTAGGCCCTAATAATCATTTAAAGTGATTAATGCGTGATCTTACTTCTTTTCTTTCTTTTTTTTTTAAAGGTTTTTCTTTTTCTCAATTGGTCAAACCATTCGTATAATTGGCGTGCAATATGGAAAGCAATTAGTCCATAGATAGAAGAAGAATGAATCTTATTCGAATTTCGAAGTGCTAATACTAATCATTTAAAGTGATTAACGTTTTGATCGTACTTTTTCTAGGGTTCTCTAGCTACTTTTCTTCAAAGTTGTCAAACTATTTTTCGTACTTTAGGCGCTCGATTCTATCGAAAAAGTCCGAAAAAGATACTTAAAAAATCTTAATAGAAGTTGGTATATGATCCCTAATTAATCATCATCTAAAGTGATTGATTACGTACTGTTGCGATCTTACTTTTATTTGTAGGGTTTTCTTCAGCTAGCTTAGTCAAACTAATTGTACACTTTAGCGTGGGATTTGGAAAAAAAATTAAGCAAAGATACTACTAATCAAACATTAATAAAAACTTCATCAAAGTACTGTCATTGCGTGATTAATTAACAATCTCGATTGTCGTTTTACTAGAGACCTAAAAACTAATGAATTTTTAATCAACCAAATTATGTGTAATATTTTTCACTTTTGCTTTTGTCATTTTTTGATGATTGAAGGTAGTAGTTAGTTAGCTCCAAACATTAAGATTTGACTTAGCTGATTAAGAACCTTAATAAAAGTATAGGAGATTTGGTTGAATTTGTGATAAGATTGTTTTTTTTTTTTTTTAAATCTTATTGTCTTCCACCAGAACTGCAATTAGCAGATAGTCAAATTGCAATATTTAGCAGATTTGTCATCAAATTAATTTAGCTAATTGATTAGCAGATTTGTCATCAAATTAATTTAGCTAATTGATCATCTTGTCTTCCATCAGACCTGCATATATAAAGCAGATAGTCAAATTGATAATCTCCAGCCAGCAAAAATGTACAACACGATCAAATTTGTAAGCCAAATATTCTTCTTGTTGTTAAAGCATCTTCTGATTAATTAAGCACTGTTTTGTTGGTGGGAATATTAGTCAAAACTCACAAATCCCCCCCTTTTTTTTTAATTTTATAAATTGATAAAAATAGTCCAAAAACATAAAAATAAAAATAGCCAGTTGTGACATTTGAGTCCAGCCCTCATTAACATGCGCCACGCAAGCATACACGCTCACATGCCTAACAGTTCTAAGTGAGATATTTGACAAAATTGATACTTAAACACACTTTTTGTTACATTTCTGCCCCCTAATTTTTGTTCTTGTCTCAAATCACTTCTGTTCCAAGGCGGATCAGACCAAATCAATAATAATCTTTTCCGTCTTAATTATAATATGCACAATAGACATGTTGCTGAAAGGTTACAACTTTTTGTTAAGGTGTACAACTCAAAAATGTGTTCCAAATTATCATGTTGTTTAATTAGAGGATTCCGTTAACCTTAATCAAATTAGAAGTATTAGTCTTAAGTGTAAAAATGCAAAACAAAACCTTTTTGTTTTTTTTTTTTTTTTGTTTTGAGGGGACAAAAATTTATGTGGAAGCAACTGTAATCACGATAAGAAAAACTAGAATCAAGATTCAAGTTTTCTACTAAAAAATTACGAATTTTTTTCAATCGTTTTCTTGTTTTTGGCTTTTCGTTTTGAAATTCTAGCTCCGTTACTGGTTACAGTTATATTCACAGTGGAAGATGTATGTTATCTTGTGAAATGTTTTACTCGAAATGGAAACAAAACACAAAGTGAAGGGGCCAAAATTGACGATCTATCAACTCACTATAGCTAGCTAGAAGCCAAGAAACAATTAGAGGGAAAAAAAATTGAAAGCTGGAACAGTAAACTTCCAAAAAAAACTTGGAGGACTGGAGGAAAGTGGACCAAAGAGATGTCAGGCTGAACAGGGACTGAATCGCTAATCTAATATTCTGTTGTCGGCCAATACTCAGAGATTTCTCATCTCCGCTGACGTGGAAGTTGGAACCAGAAAAAGAAAAACAAAAACTCTTCCAAAGTAAAAAAAAATTCCATTACTACTACTACTATTTATCCAGGTTCCAATGAGAGAGAGCCACATCAGCCCAAAGCCCAGCCCGACATTAACGTGATCGGTCAAATGGGCAGCCCCCCTTCATCGTCCATCCCCACGTGCGTTTTCTTATCCTTAACCCTACCCCCGCCGGCCCACCACCTTCCTCCACCACTCCCCGGTGGTCTGGTTCTTTTCTAATCATCATTCATCAAAAACCCACATCTCTCCATCATTGTGGGGTCTACCCTTCCTTCCTCTCTATTCTAGCTAACTTTGCTATTACTCTACTTTGTCTACTGCTACTACTACTATCATGTCTGCATTTATTTCTTGTTTGTCACACACATTTAACGTTGTTGTTGTTATTATTATTATTAATACTATCAATTTATCATTTCTCTATTTGTTTAGCTACCAGTGTTGCTCATTCATACTATAACATATAGCATAATATCCAAAAATGCACCGCGTAAGATAAACGGTGAATAAATCTAGGACATCAAAACTTGAATATAAAAAAAAAAAAATCACGTCGTGAATAAATTTAGACGAATTTACTTGCTGTTATAATCGTCATCATATCACTACCGCAAAAAATGTCTTTTTGTAACATCAATGACGGTGTAGGGGGGATAATATTGAATTTCATACTATAAAAACAAATAGAAGTATAGAACTATACTCCAAGTGTCGGTCTTTTCTTTTCTTCCTTTACCCTAAAGCCCCAAGCATGCCAGGAAAGATGCTGGACCATAGTGAGTTTGGAATCATACAAGCTTGAAAGTTTTGATGAAAAGAGGGTTCTTTTTTCGTACTTCAAGTAGTTGATTGCATGAGTTGATCAGCGGGGGGTTTTCAGATAGACATTTGTGGGCATAGAAATAAAGAACAATACACCTCATGAACACTTTCCTTTGATCTATTATTGTTTTTACTATGTCATTGTGCATCCCATTATTGGCTTGGAGAAAGTGACTAGAGATAGTGATGCTAGTCATCATGCATTTCCTCCCCAATGGAACCAAACAAAAAAAAAAAAAAGGTTTGTATACATGTAGATTTTAGATTAACTTTCACTAGTTTTTCTCGACACAAGAATATGATTGTACACTTGTGTTGTAGTTTTGTTGTTGGACTGATGTGTTTAATTTCGTATTATCAAAAATTGTCCAACGATTTTCAGTAAATGAATAAAATTAGTGTTTTAACCCAATGGGAGAAGAAGCAGATAATCAATTCGGTCCAACAATTATTATGGAATTTGGGAGTCATTATTGGGTCAATTGTCATCAAAGTGATCATTTTTTTCAAGGATAAGAAGAGGAGAAGTAACCAATCGGTTTCATTATCTTATCAATTTATTTTTCAGAAGGCAAATTTCATCTTGAACGTTTGTGAGGCCACTGCTATTTGATTGAAACAAGACTAAAGAGAATAAAGCCAGAATTGTGGTCCATTTTCCTCTTTATTTTTGGGCATTACGGGTTCAGCCCAGATGGTTCCTTCTTGTCATATTACCTGTCTGTCATGCACCTCCATTGCATATCTACACCATTTCATGGTCAAAAATCATAAATTTTGTCTAATAATTTTTTTTTTTTTGTGAATTATCTAGCTTTCAAATTGAATGATTGTCTCGTCGTATTTGGGATGCGACATTTACCCACCAATCTAAATACTCAGAGAAGAAAAAGATAAATGCTGAAGGACAATAATGCGTATAAGTTTAAATTTTAAGACGGAACGAATAAAGAAAAGAGAGTTGTTTGTGCCATTTGGTCTAAGATCGATGGATACAAGACGCGAAATGGTCCAAGAAAGGGAGGAAAAGATGTTGGCAACGAATGAGATGAGAAGAGAGTGAGGTTTGCTTGCACATACTTGATATGGCCGAAAATTGTCGAGGACTTTATGTCCCTCCATTTTTTATTTTTTTTTTGGGCACATGAGAATGAGAGCCATGACAAGGAACTTTTGTAGGCATCCGGACTCAGAAAAAACCTCATGATTCTCGATGAAGAGAAGCACTCTATGACCCATACATTCAATGTCCTTTTTAATCACAAACGAGGAAATGTGGTACACTTTAACCTACCACACATTGGGGAATATGATGAATTTAGAGACCAAAGTGCAACCGGAACCCTACAAGGTAGAATACTTGGTTGTTCTACTTAAAGTTACACATTTCTTTAGACCAAATGTATAGAACGTGTTCTCCGGTTTAATCTAACATAGCTTACTGAATCAAATTTTACTGATGTAACGCGGGAGCGACAAAATGAGTAGAGATCATCAAATTGAATTCACCTCATCAATGAAAGCCGAAAACCTAACATATTAGGCTTAGCTGCTTAGGCCCATTTGTCTTAGTAGATATTTTATAGGCCAACCTGAGGGTATTGGATTCATTGAACCTCAAGTTAGGGACTTGATTGGACGTCTAGCTAATCTGTCATGGCCTTTTAACACATGAATTGAAGTTGATTTAAAGTTTTAAACCAATGAGATCATTGTAAACTTGACTACTATGCCACCAATGTTTTTTCTTTCGGAGGGAGTAATTTGATGTACTCCACTTAAAGAAGGACAGGAAAAGAGTTTTTGAGTTCAAACTTGAAAGGGTCCCTCGAAAGCACTTTCATTTGTTTGCCCTTTTCTACCTTTTGTTGAATGCATTTTGGGACATTGTCGCCAAGCCAACCAAGCCCAGCTAATTAGCTTCCTAAAGACAAAATTGATAGAGGCCCATCAGTGGGCTCATTAAGTTCTGAGGAGGAAACTTCCCAAGTTCTCAATTTTCTTGGCCCTTTTTCCTAAAAAAAGAAGAAAAGAAAAGAGAAAAAAAAATGACAAAATGGAAAAAAATCACTTACTTTCAAAGGCAAAAAGAAAGAAAAACAAGAGGGGTTCCAGTCTTTTCTTCATCATTTTTGACATGTGGAAATTGAGATTTTGGTCTTTTAACTTTAACAACTCGATATTTTAGTCGTAATGACTCTTTTAATTTATTTAAAACAAAATCAAACATTGCGCTTTCTTATAAAGCACAAATTACATTGTATTTATAAATAGAAGTCATAAAAAGAACTAACTTTGATACTATGTCCTAAAATTATTACTCTAATTTAAATTTTCCTTTAGAGTACAATATAAGCGTAAAAATTCAAATTGAACGATTATTTCAAGACGGAGAAAGCCATGGTTCAACTGGGCTAGCTAGATAGCAATCATTAATGACTCGGTACTGGAAAGCACAGCAATTCTATAACAGTTCAGCCCATAGAATATCCCAACAGCCCAAAACACAAAATCATTGTTAGATACTTGAAAACAAGAGTAAGTTGTTAGAGACATTTTCCACTGTTTTAAGTCAATTTGAAGCATTCATATCTCAACAAAAACATCTAAACAGCAGAATAGATTACATGAAAGCATTAGATTACACATGATACAAGCTGGCATTTCCACATTAAGCAAGTGGAGCTTCAAAACGTTAGGTTCAAAAGTACCAGCCAAAAGTTAGAAGATAATGGACTCATGTGTCAGCTATCTTGGCCTCCAATGTCATCAGCTTTGGCTCCACCCCAAGACAAAAAACTATCCTGTGATCCGAATTCCTGCAAACAACTTTAAACCTTGAGCCAGGGCTGAAGGTGTTGAAGCTTATGGAATATAAATTGAAGAAGAGAGAATATAAAAACTTACAAGCTGGCTTAAACGGAAATCAGGAGGCGTATCTAGCTCTAAGTTAGCAGGATCCAGGACCAGATTTTGGCAGTCCTCTAAATCTTTCTTAAAGCATTCGGTTCCCAACCGTGCATAATCGGAAATGCGAGGCTTGGTTTTCTGTTCTTTATCATTTTTATTTCCATCCCTAGGAGGGGATTGACTCTGTAGAAGATCATCAAACAAAGAAAGGCCTTCTACAAGTTGCTGGGAATCCAGCAAATATTGTGATTCGTTGTCGTCCCACAACTTCTCACCAGCATCCTCATCGAGTTTATCTTCCTCTTTCTCAGCTAAACCTTCTTCGCAATCTGGCATCCTTTGTACAGGAGATAACTGATCTTCCATGCCAACCACATCATCATGCCGATGGTCCATGGCAACAGCATTATGCTGATGTTCCATGGAAACAACATTATGCTGATGGTCCATGGCAAGAACCTCATCATAATGATGGTCCATGGCGACAACATCATCGTGCTGCAGTAAACAAATACAATGCATAAGTAGATGCACTAAAAGAAAGACCGACCGCAATCTGTTTTAAGCTATTAACAAAATATGAATGGTGAGAAATTTCCAACACTAAGGTAACTTGGCTTCCCCCTCCCTAATGGTGAAAAGAAACCTTTATTAACATTAGGAATTAACTCCATCAGCTGGAGATAAAATACTTCTACTGTGGAACCAACGCATGTAATTCCACAGATTACAAAGCTATCCTTGGAGTAGAGACGCAAACAGAACAAAAGTGTCAACACCCAAACGCAACATCCTAACGATGCAATGTGAAGTAACTAGATGAAGAATACTTATCCAAGTTACCTGAACAATGGAGATGATTGGTTCTTGACCATAATTCATGTCAGAGTGGCGCCTTTCAGCACGGGGTGGCGCAGGGGTCACAGACTTTGGAGTGACAGGGTCTCCTCTCACAGTCATGATATCTTCTTCTGAAACTTCAACTTCATTTTTCTCACTCTGCTTCAATTGCTGCTGCTGATAAAACACCTTGGAGATAACATACTGTCCCTCCCTCTCATCTTCCTCAGTACCCAGGTGATATTGATGCATCACCCAATTAGTCTTCTCCGGTTTGCCACCCTTTGCTGGACTAAGATAAAGCACCATAATCTTCTTACATCCTTTTTGCACACCATCCAAATGAACAGGCTTTGTCCGACCAGTCTTGTGCCAACGTACATCTCCAGTGGTTGCACCATGAATCTTTCGACGTTTCCTAGTTCCAGTGTTATAAGCCTTAATTGCCCTATGGAAAAAGTGTGACACACTTCCGTCTTGTTTAACACCTAAAAAGGTGGAATCATCAGATATAAAGGTTTGAGACAGCACAAATGCAAAATAAAACAAGCCACACCATTAGAATTGGGATATCAATTGTTTGTTTTTACCAGGCAGATTCTGAGGGTGAGTATAACAGATCCCATCATCTTCATTCACAGTTGGGATAAACTCATCGAGAAATGGATGGGGTTTCAGGTTATCGACACCAACTTTCCCAAGTAAATGCCAGATTATCTCTTGATCAGATGGATCAAACTTCACTCCTCGAGGTAATCCAGGCCACTCCTGTGTAACCTAGAGAAGACACAAAAATCACATTAAGTGTATGAACTTTTCAACAATACAGACCACACATATGGTGTAAAGTTCATGCTCAAGCCACAACTTCATTAACATATATGATACAAGAATCACATTAAGTGTATGAATATTTCAACAATACAGACCGCACATATGGTGTAAAGTTCATGCTCAAGCCACAACTTCATTAACATATATGATTTCATCTGTTAACTTGAATGGTTGGGCTGGTGTTTCCTTTTCCCACCTTACAGTCTTAGCGTCCCACCTTCCCATTCATGATTTCCTTGCCTGTTAGCTGTAAAGTGTGATTATAGAGGTGGATTGCCCTTAGTTTCCAAACCAGGTTAGTTTTATTACCAACTAGAATGTTGCAGTCCAAGAGCTATAAGCAACAACTTTTCAGGCTCCAACCTAACAGGCCTAAACCACTTAAGCAAAGTTTCTATTAACCTTCCAATCAAAGTCTTGCAAATGAATCCCATGGTTCACAAGAAGAGCTGCATGCAAATCAGCTCATGGAGAAGAGCTACATGCCAAATAGCAACAAAATGCCTCTTTATATCACTACAAAGTTGGCCCAAGCAAAAGCAAAGATTATGAAACTACTTCCCAGAAGAGGAAAGAGGAATATATGATGAAAACAGACATCAAACTAACCCTGATCCCTTTTCTTTCCGCAGACCAATGATCTTTGGGGGCGGGGGATCCAATAAAAGGGAACAAACATAAATAAAACTCAGAGAAAGCAAAGGTAAGAAAAATAAATTTGAACAAAAAGCTCCGTTTTGTTATTCTTCATTTTACCACAACATAACAATTGTTAACAATGTATCATGTTTCAGAATAGAAAATAATTTAACTTCAGAAAACTTTTAGAAAGCATCACTGCATCCGTTTGACTCAAAACAGAAAGAGCTGTACATCACTATTATCGATGGTGTGCTGACAGTTTGGGCAAGTTCTTGTAGGATCGCTTGTCCAGTTAACTAGTTGTGGATCAGTTGCACCAGATGCACTCCTTATTTTGGTTGCAATTCTATTGCTGTCAACTAACCAGGAGGATCTGCAGAAGTTTACCACAAAAAAGAAAGATCATCAAGTAAGCAAGAACCGCAATAAGCCTAAGGAACCAAGAAAAATTTACAAGACTCATAAGTCTAAATGCATCAGAAGAAAAAAAAATTAGGAATTTAGAAACACATACAATTTAGTCTTTAAAGCACAAGGCACAGAAAAATTTCATAGGAAGATAAATAATGAGTATGCTTAAGAGGTATAGCACATAGATTATACTACCATATATTAATCACAACATGAATCAAATACGAAGGTTGTCCTGCAAAGTTAGATACTTAGATGAGGAGAAAATATGAGTCTTATAAACATGCATCCTTTGAGGAACAAACTAACACCGTGCATAAACATTGACCAATGCAGACAAGGATGCCACACTACAGCTGCTTTAAATCGTGAAAGGTGAAAATACAACTTAAACCCTTCCTCGGCAATATTTCAAAGGGTATAGACCATTATCGATGCTTTGATTTGTTAACAAAATGCATCCTCGTTATACTATCAAGTGCACTACAAATAAATTATAGATTTCCCTGCTCAATGTTTTCAGTCTCTAGCCGAAATCCAAGTAGTAAAAATGTCAATTGGCAACTAATTTCTCTATTGGCTTGACAGTTGAAGCTATTTTCACTTAACCAATGAATACATAATAACCCCAACGGCTGCTAAAGGAAAGACAGAAAATCATAGAAACAAACCCCATTACCCGCGCCCAGACACCAAGTAGAAAACAAGAAAATTGCTGTATTTGGAATGAAAACAGCAAACGTCACTCCACTTTGACCTTCAAAAGTCGGCAGCAGCAATATTTTTAACGCACGAGGTGCAGCAATTACGCCCAAATATCAATATCAAGCACAAGAAATCACAACCCAAAGTTACAGAAACTGGGTCAAACTTACAGAAAATCAGAATAAACCCTCAGAAAACAGAACCCAGCTGATGCAGGAATTTAAAGATTCAAAGGAACCCACAAAACAAGATTACACGCGAATCCTAGTCAATGGTGTCAACAAAATAGAATCTTTGTTGTAAAAAAGCAAACTTTATACACCTTTGTGACCTGGAAAAGAAGTAAGACAGCAAACAGTGACATACCTAGCCATGGTGATGGGGGAATTAGGCGATCAAGAAACAGTGCAAATAAACCCTCGATGCTGCTTTCAACTTTCAAGGGCTCAAACTCTTCATCCACTACTACTATCAGTATTCAGTACCACTATAATGGGCGATTTGGGATTGCCAAGAAATGCCTTTTTTCTTTTTTTTTTGACGGTTTCCCAGGAACGTTCAATTTGAAACTCAAAACCGTGTTTACTGTATTTCTACTTTGCCACTGCCCACTGCTACTTTAAAAACAAACACTCTTTTGACTCTGAGTCTTGGGCCGCTGGGATGTTGATTGTTGACCATTAGGGTCATTAAATTAGGGGGTGTGTCGAGTGAAATTAGGATTTATTAACAATTATTACAAGAAAATAGTACGACACATATATGAAAAAGAAATCAATTACAACTGTGAAATATCCACTTCGGAAACTGTTCAGAAATTCCACGAGTGGAAAATCTCAGGGACATTTTTTTTCTTATTCACCTTTAAACTTTAAAGAATAATTCTTTTGAACATGGCACACCTGAAATCAAAAGTAACCTTTTGATGGTTACTCTATTAGACTCTTACACATTAAAATATTGTTTATCGAAAAACTAGTTAGAGGACTGTTTGGATAGCCAGCTTAGTAGCTTACTTCTGTGTGTCGTGTGTATGACACGAGACATAATCAATTATAATCAATTACAATGTGAAGAAGATAATTATCAAAAACGAAATATAATTAGTATCTCTTTCATTGCACTAAAAAAAAGTTTGTATAGTTTTTGTACTTAAAAAATAAATAAAAATTATTGACTATTTGAGTCCAGAATCATTTGGAGTCCACAAAGGCTTTCGATGGAACTTCCATGTGAGTAAATTATGTACTCCCTTCCAAAGTTATTGTCCAATTTGAAATTTCAATTTTAATATAATTTGAACTAAAGATGAAAATTCAAACTAGACAAGATGGAAGGAACATTTATTTATTCGATATTTATGCATTGCTTCTTTAAATCATGGCATATGGATTGCAATTTGGCTAATACATGTAAACTTTTATACATTCCTCTTTCAATATAGTGATAAAAGCCAAAAAAGAAAAAAAAAACTCTCTGTTAGATACTCTCTCGAGTCCTTAATATAAGATATTTGAATTTGTCATATATTTCACCTATCATATATTTTTAATTAAAAAAATCATTAAAAATACATGTTCAAATTCGTTGTGTTCTTCTAATTATTAGCATATACTTTTAAGATTTTTTTTTCAATTAAAAATACATACTAAATGAAATTTGGGACAAATTAAAATAAATTTTACTAAGAACGGGAAGAATATTTCATAAAGAATACTCATTAATTATATGGTTAATAACTAGGACAGAAACAGTTAGAGTTTCTTCGACTAGGTTTAGTCTATTGAGGTTGTGTATCATTACTTCATAACCTAATAAAATTTTCTCAGTAAATATCGAATTTTGAAATTTATATTAAAAAATAGAATTACAGATCAAATCATTCGGACTCAAATGACAAATATATTTGATAGAGATACTAAAACTAGGCTACTAAAAGCCCAAATCCAAATCCTTAACGAGATCGGAGAATTTTCTTTTACCGACTTATACAGGCCCGATACCTTTTAAGCCCAACTTTGTACCACTGCTTCTTCCTTGTATTCCGTCGTGTAACGGAAAATTAAATCGTAACTAGCTCGGAGCTGCTTCCATTCCACCACCGCAATCATGAGCAACCGAGCCCGAAATTTCCGGCGTCGCGGTGGAGACGACGACGCCGACGATGATAGCGACGACAGGGCCGTTTCCGCCAACGGTTCTTCCGCCTCCACATCAGCTAAAGTTCAACCCAAATCCGCCGCCGCAAAACCCCCTAAATCGGCAACTCCGGTCCCCAAAAGCCGGCTGAGCTTCGCGGACGACGAGGAAGATGCCGACGCTACGCCTGTATTTCGCCCATCCTCATCCAATTCTCGTCTCTCTAAACCTTTACCGTCTTCTTCTTCGTCTCATCACAAACTAACCTCTTCCAAGGACCGGAAGTCGGTTTCAGCGCTGCGGTCATCAATTCCTTCTAATGTCCAACCCCAAGCAGGGACTTACACCCTGGAATCTCTCCGGGAACTTCAGAAGAATACTAAAAGCTTTGCTTCCTCACGCACGGCCTTTCCTGAAGCTAAGTTGAAGCCCGAGACCACCAAGCCCAACGAGCCGGTTATAGTGCTGAAAGGGTTATTGAAGCCGAGTGTTCCATCCGATCCAGATGAAGAAATTGAGCCTTTAGACCAATTCGAAAATGACGAGCAAAAGGACAGTCTCTCGGGAGATGAAGCAACTGTTAGAATGGCTCCTATCGGGTCAGGGAAGGGTTCAAGAGATAAGAACAAGGATTCTGGTGATTTCATAATGGACCAAGCAAGCATAGACGCCATAAAGGCCCGAAGAGAGAGGCTAAGGCAGGCAGGGCCAGCAGCTCCAGACTATATAGCATTAGATTCAGGAAGTAATCATGGAGAAGCAGAAGGTTTGAGTGACGAGGAGCCGGAATATCGTGGCAGAATCGGCTTCTTTGGTGCCAAAATTGATGGTGAAAAGAAGGGCGTGTTCGAAGCTTATGAAGATCGGGTAGTGGAAAAGGTTAGCACTGTAGTTAGTGATGGTGATCTGGATGATGAGGACGAGGAGGAAAGATTGTGGGAAGAGGAGCAGGCGAGGAAAGGTCTTGGGAAAAGGTTAGATGAAGGCATTAGTAAAGGCAGTGTTGGTGTTAATACTGGCATTAATAGTGTTAATGTGGTTCAAAGAGCTCATCAGCAGACAAGGGTATCTTCTACTGTGGGTTCTGATGTATATCCTTCTGTTCAGAGCAGTGTGATGAATGCTAACGGTCTTAGTATTGGGGGAGCTGTTGGAACTGGTTTGGATGCTATGTCAATATCACAGCAAGCTGAAGTTACTAAAAAAGCTTTGTACAATAATTTGAAGATGCTTGAGGTATTCGTCCCATTACTTTCTGTTAATTTTTTGTTAAATGTTAGTGAAAGTTATATTCTAGCTGTGAGTTGAGACCATCCAGGAAATTTCATTCGTTTTGATAAGCTAAGATCTTTATATGTTCGTAATTGAACTAATTGTTTCAAACTTACCTGACATTTCATTTCAATCTTTAGGAATCTCATAGCAAAACCTTGGCTTTGTGCGCACGGAATGATTCAAATATAGCTGACTCGCTCTCGAATATTACCAGACTGGAGAAAGCATTTTCTGCAGCGGGTGAGAAGTTCATCTTTATGCAAAAGCTTCGTGAGTTTGTTTCTGTTATATGTGCCTTTTTGCAGGTACGAGTTATCTGTTTTTTACATCTACAATTTAATTTTGTATCCCTCCATATTTTCAGTCTCAACATGTCAAAATAATTTTTTGGGTTTTAAAGGTTTTTAGTACCATGATTGAACATTGAATGACCAAGAGAATGACTGTTTTTGTCTTATAATTTCTTAATAACTACTTTTAAGTCTCTTTGAAGCCGTTACCTTGTTCAGAAACCTTGTTAATAATTATGTTTCTTTTCTTGGTTAATGTTAGAATCTTTTCTTTGCACTAAGTAATCGGATTATTTTAATGGGATAACTGATCACTTAAGCAAAATTTAAATTTTGCTATGGTCTCTTCTATCTCACTTTCGGCATTCCTCTTCAGTAGAATGGGATCTTGGTCAGCTGGGAGGGGCTTGATTTAGGTAGTAAACGGTGAAGTCCTTGCTGATGTTGTCGAAATGTCTCCCTCCTGCTAATATACATTATATATTTTGTTACTCTGATTACTGTAGAATTTATAGATTGACATTGATTATGACACTAGTTTTGGGTTGTTCTCTTCAACTTACTTTTTTGTTATTAAGGGGGGAAAACTTTAAATGCTATCAACAAATGTGTCATTTAGGACCCATGAATTCTCTTCCTGCTTGAATTTTTTGTTTATCTTTCTCACACGAGGGAAAGTGACTGGCAAAAATATTCACAATGTCGCATTTGTTTTCTCTTTCGCAGCATAAGGGTCCTTATATTGAAGAACTTGAGGAACGAATAAAGGATCTTCATGAAAAAAGGGCAGCCGCAATTATAGAAAGAAGAACTGCTGAGAATACTGATGAAATGAGAGAACTAGAAGCGGCTGTGGCTGCAGCAAAGGCAGTTTTAAGTAAGGGTGGAAGCAGTGCAGCAACGGTTGAAGCCGCCACAAAAGCTGCACAGGCTGCTTTTGCTGCTGCAAAGGAACTAAAAGATTTACCTGTGGAGCTAGATGATTTTGGTAGAGATTTGAATTTGCAGAAGCGGATAGATATGATGCGAAGGGCTAAGAGTAGACAAAGGAGGAAAGACAAATATGATTTGAAGAGACTTTCGACTATGGAAATCGACGAACATAACCACCCGATAGAAGGAGAATCAAGCACTGATGAAAGTGACAGTGAGACTGCAGCACATCAGTCAAGTCTTGCTGAGTGGATTCGGGTCTCTGAACAGATTTTTAGTGATGCAGCAAATGATTATGCTCAACTTTCAGCAGTTGTAGAGAGGTTAGGGAGATGGAAGAAGGAATATGCATTAAGCTACAAGGATGCTTACATGCCATTAAGTGCCCCTTCTATTTTTTCTCCTTATGTAAGGCTTGAGCTTCTCAAGTGGGATCCACTTCATGAAGATTCAGATTTTATCGATATGAAATGGTACGATACTCGACCTTTAAAAAAAATGCTGATGTTAATTCTTTTACTTTATATCTTTTTAGCTGCAGATTTTCTGTGCATTGTTTTGGTGATTCTTGGAAATTTTAAAACGTATAATGCTGTGGATGATAACTCTGAACTGCGAAGTTCTGCTCTGTTGCATGTAGCCTCTGGCTTATTATCCCTGGCCAAACTACATGCTACAGATGTTATTGAGTGCATGCTTTTATGATGTATGTGACCTAGTATTTCTAGCCATGGAGTGCATTACTCCAGTTACTGAATGGAAACATATCTTCTCCTTCTTTGGTTTTTTGTTAGTTCATTTGAGGTCGCAGTGCTGTTCGTTTCCTCCTCTGCACCGAGATTTCAGTTCCATGATATTCCAGTAAATGTATCTCGTGCAAAAATTCTTGAATGACTTTCTTTTGTATGTGCTGAATGCTATATGAAAGTTGTTTATGTTGAGTTGGATGATCTCAGCGATTGATTCGTCTCTAGGTTGATAAGTTTTTTAAAAAGTAAACAATTTTGTCGATGTTTGTAGTCTGTGAATGCTGTGAGATTTCTATCTCTTTTTATAGGAACAGAGTTGTTTCTTTATCTGTCAATTTGATACTGAGTTCATAACTCTCTGATTCTCCAGGCACTCGTTGCTATTCGATTATAGTGCTCCAGATGATGCTGATGCTGATGCTGATGCTAATCTTATTCCTGACCTAGTCGAAAAGGTTGCCATTCCTATTCTGCATCACCAGTTGGAGAAATGTTGGGACATGCTTAGCACACGTGAGACAAGATATGCTGTTTCTGCTACGACTTTGGTCTTTGGATATGTTTCTGCTTCCAGTGAGGCATTAGGGAAAATGGTTGCTGCCCTTCGTGACCGTTTAGCTGATGCTGTAACCAATTTGACGGTAATTCTCTCAATACTTTTGCCCCGTTTTGCAAATCTTTTCCTTTTTTAGAGGACTACAGATAGTTGTGTTGTTTTTTTGCTCTTATCTGTTTTAAGAAAAAGAACTAATCTAAAGGGTACTGTTGCTTCACAGATCCCGACATGGGACTCACTTGTGCTAAAGGCTGTACCCAATGCTGCTCGAGCTGCAGCACATAGGTTTGGTGTGGCCGTTCGTTTGATGAGGAATATATGTTTATGGAACAAGATTCTTGCAATGTCTGCTTTGGAAGAGCTTGCTCTTGATCAACTCCTAAACAGAAAGGTTCTTCCTCATCTCCGTAGCATTCAATCTAACATTCATGATGCAATGACGAGAAGTGAAAGGGTTGTTGCTTCGCTAGATGGGGTCTGGTCTGGTCGAAGTGTTACTGGGGATCGCAGGTATTATTTCGTTAGTGTTCTGCCAAATTATGTGTTTTCTTCTGTCTTTGCGTTTGAGAAGAGAAATTTTATCTTTATTTCCCAGTAATAGTTGGATTTGATAGCTATTTCTGTACAAGTAAACGTTATTCTGGTTAAAAATTTCAAAGTTTGATAACAGATATTTAGTGTTAACCAAGCAAATTAGTGCATATTTGGACAAAGTTGTCTGTTACCTTCGCATTGCGTTGTATGCCTTGGTGGTATGAATTAGTAGTTAGATAAATTTATGACAACTTGGAGGTTATGTATGGGCCTCAACTTGTGGAACCCAATCAAGTATCAATCTTTTACTTGCCATTTGGTAATTAAATTCGTAATCATGTGACTAAGGTTGTTCTCCCATGGCCATCACCACCATCCAGGCACTAATATAGTCGTCAGTAGATGAATACTTACTGTGCAACAAAGTCTCTTTATTTAGCTTTCTTTCGGTTATAAAAGAATGGTTTTTATTGGTTATTTCTGGCACCTAATTCTCGTTGTGTAAAATGCTTACAATCTTGTCACCGTGCTTGCAGCCCTAAATTGCAACCGCTGGTGGACTATTTACTGGTTCTGAGGAGGGCACTGGAGAAGAGACACAGCTCCGGGGGAGCTCAGACGGAAACATCTAACCTTGCACGGCGCTTGAAGAAAATGCTGGTGGACCTCAATGAGTATGACCACGCAAGAGATATATCTAAGACTTTTAATCTCAAGGAGGCCTTGTGATCCTCTCTATGCCAGTCTGGAATCTCTGAACTCAGTTTTTTCAAGAATGTCTGTACTTGGTTTTCCTTGTATCCAATCCTGGTGGGCATAGGCCGCTCTTCTTCCCTTGATAAATATATGATATGATATCAAGTATATTTAGGTATCTTTAGTTCACCAATCTGGCCCGATCTTGGGTTTTGAGAGAACAATTTGCTTATAGTTTGTACGTTGGAACCAATTTAAGATGGATCTTTGAGCAATACTTGAATGATGATATGCACGTTGCTTGTGTTCCGCTGTTCCCTGGCCAAAACAATCGAAGCTTCCCAAGATTAAGAATCAAAGCTGCACGCCAGTTCTATTTATTTATTTATTTTGGTTCACATCATTGTAGGTTTTCAAGTACTTTAAGAAAGCTGGGTATGCTTGGATTGTTTTTTTTTTTTTAATGTGTGTTTAGGTGTTCTTTTGTATTAGAAATGTAAAAAAAAAAAACGTTTGAAAAGATAAAAACACTATGTTGAGATTAGACATTTATTAATCAAAAAATGAAAAAACCAAATGAAACAAACATAAATTTTGCGATCAAGGTTCTATTATATATCTATAAATGATGATCAAGCATTTGTAGAGAAAGCGAATTTTGCCGGATCTTATTGAAAACGTTTGAGAATGAAATTTCCTCTGTAAAAGGAAAAAAAAAAAGAAGTTACAGTATTAAAAATATAGGGAAAAAAAATACAATGACTTTTAAGAGACATCTCCTCTGTAGATTACATTGAGTTTTGAGATTTGACTAAACACAATAGTATAAGATTTCAAAACTCAATTTGAACTGCAATATTTGTTTTGGACCCAGAGTGTATTATTATATTTGTATTTAATTACATGTCATTCTTGGTGATATCGAATATTATTTCCGTACGGGGGAATAACGACTTAGGTATGATGAATGTGGTATGATATAAAGTAACTTCTGTTCACCAATCTGGCCTGTGTGTGCTTAGATTCTTTGTGCCTTGAAATTCATATAAGATGATTCTCAAGAAATACTTGAGTGGTGCACGTAAAATTCCTTTTTGATCCTTTGAATCTCATCTTTGATTTGGATCCTTTAAATTCAATCTCTCTCATTGTAACTTTTGGCAAATTGCTTTCGCCCTGTTGGTTTGAAATTTCCTAGTTTTGCACCCCTTGTTTAATGGAAAAATATCTGGAATGGATTCTTGGGTCTTTTTTATAATCTTTCAAAACTATTATGATTTTTTTTCATAAATTTTAAAAAATTATCAAATCTAAAAAATTGTTAAATCTTTGAAACTATTTTATGTCTTATAATTTAAAAAAATTATGTCTTCTATGAATACGTTTCTTGGCCTATTTAGGGGCAGAATTTGATGCATAACAAACCTTTCCCTAAATAAATACTTTATAAATTAATCATTTTAGATAATTTAATAATTTTTCCTCCCAACATGGACCAAGAACAAAAATCATACTGAATCAATATAATAATAATATTTTTTCCAGAAAACTGCTACCTAATAAAAAAAATTCTTAACAATTACCCGAGATACACAAAAAAGGAATATTTACCAAAATAATAATTTATAGCAATTTTTTTATTTCTCTTAAAAAATTTATATATAAATAATTCTCTGTGGTGATAAGGAAATTTACATTTATATAATCAAAATCCAATTTTAACCCATATCCTTTGGTGGTCTTGCAATAGAGTTTGCTAAGGGTGTTAATTTGTGTTTGGACCCGTGACTCAATCCGAACCCAACCTGAAATTAACGGGTTTGGGTTGGAATTTTTGACCCAAATAATAAACAGGTTGGGTTCGACCCAATCTGTTTATAGTTAGGCCCGGGTTCAAGTTGACCCGTCGTGTTTTCCGGGTAACCCGTTTAAATAGGTTATGTAGTAATTTTCATATATTTTTATAGGCATATTGGCAATTTCATAAATATTTTACCTACCCTAATTATACCAACCGGACAAAAACCCTAATCAGTTGTGTTTCTTTGGCTTGCACTTTGAAATGTGGAGAAAAAATAGATTTTTATTAAAATTCATAATCTTTACCCAAAAAAAAATTAATTAGGTACCAATAAAAAAAATTTATTCGTGTTTTACGGGTCCAACCCAGGAAACCCGCAAAATAAACGGTTGGGTCCGAGTTTAAGAACCTTACCTGTTTAATATATGGGTTGAGTTCGGGTTATGGTATAAAATAAACAGGTTGGGTCCAACCCAACCTGTGGACTCGGACCAAACCCAAATTGACACCCCTAGAGTAATGTTTTCAAAATCGGGATTTCACACAAGATCGTTTTGGCGTCTCAGGATCGGATCGGATTCTGGACTGGTGGGATCGTAACCATTTAAAAATATTATAATAATTCTGAAATTGCGAGTTTCAATTTGTTAGTTCAATTCTTGTTTGATTTTGTGAAAAAGAAGTAGACTAGTGCCCACATACGTATCATTAATTCAAAATTTTAACTTTTATATCTTTTCTCATCATTTCCCCTCTTTTTATATAAAACAACAACTTGTACAAGTATCGACAAAATCAATGGGATCGTTGGATCGTAGGATCCTACGATCCGGTTGGGATTTTGAAGGATTCCATAAGATCCCACTACAAAGAAGGATTTCATAAGATTCAGGATCGATTTCCTAATTTCGGATCGCAGAATCGTAAGATTCTAAGATACGGATCGGGATTTTGAAAATTATGCCCTAGAGTTTGCATTGCCATACGCTTATTAATCTGTTTCCCAAACTACTGAGGTTTTTTTTTTGGGTATTTAACTTTTTTAAACAATGATACATCCAGTGACTAAGTGCAGTGAAAATATATAATGATAAATGAAAAGACAAATACATCATCCACTTACTAAACATGTCTATTTATTAATTAAGGGTAAAAATATAATTTCGAGAAAAAAATAAAACTTCAACGGAAAAATAGCAAAAAATTAGAGGTCATGATTAATCCACATCAGCCACTATATTTTATCACTATTTTTATTCATTATATATATCATTTTCATTTCATTTTTATTATTATTTTTTTCCCCGGTACAAATCTAATGTAACCATTTTCCTTTGATTTAATGGGTCCATCATCCATGTAAGAATGATTCTTCTTGTTCAATTAATCATTTCTTTGAAATTAGGCCGGCTAATCTTTTGTTTATACTTTCTAGTTTCTAGCCTCGAGGAAGTAAAGTCACTACATAGTACATACATATAACCGAAGCAAAATCCTAATCACATTGTAGTAGCTTTGTGAATTTGTGAGTCACTAATTTTCTTTTGGAGCTAAAAATGACATCGGTTTTTCCTCCTCCAAACAATCCTATACTTCGTCAAGCTGATGATGCAAGAAACAAAGTCTTGATCATTGGAGCCACTGGTTTCATCGGCCGATTCATAATCCAAGCAAGCCTTGATTCAGGCTTGCCGACTTATATTCTCAGCCGCCGGCCGGCGTTTGATGGTGATGATCATCCCAAGGCCCAAGCAATCAAAGCTTTCCAAGATCAAGGAGCCATTATCCTCCACGTACAATATTGCTCAAATCAATTAAACCTGCATGCTTTTTCTTCTTTTTTTTTTCAAGTCTTGTCTTACAAAGCTAATTTTTGTGATCAGGGTTCTATAAATGATGATCAAGCATTGTTAGAGAAGATGTTGAAAGAGAACGAGATTGATATAGTTATATCTGTTGTTGGAGGTGGAAATTTGCTTGATCAACTTACTCTCATCCGCGCCATCAAAACTGCTGGGACAAAAATTAAGGTAAACGTACTAAAAGTAAAAATCCAAACTGAATAATCATTTTATGACGGAAGGAGTATTGTGTAACTTATGTTTTATACACACATTTATGGGTTAATGTAGAGATTTTTGCCATCGGAGTTTGGTCACGATGTCGACAGAGCGGATCCGGTTGAGCCAGGACTGAGAATGTACAAAGAAAAAAGAAAAGTGAGAAGGTTGACTGAGGAATTAGGAATACCCTACACTTACATTTGCTGTAATTCCATTGCTTCTTGGCCTTACTATGATAATACCCACCCTTCTGACGTTTTGCCGCCTCTCCACCATTTCCAAATCTATGGCGATGGCAACATCAAAGGTACTACTTTGCATTTCCACTAAATTGTGTTACAGATGAGATCTTCTGTCGTACTTTTTGTTATGTATACCAAACATAAGGTTTCGACTTCCAATTCTGGGTTTTCCCTCCTTTGTTTGGCAGCTTATTTTGTAGCTGGAGTTGATATAGGAAGGTTGACTATCAAAGCGGCTAGTGATGTTCGGACAGTGAACAAGACTGTTCATTTCCGACCAAAGTGCAATTTTCTTAGCATGAATGAACTTGCTTCTTTGTGGGAAAACAAAATCGGACGTACTCTTCCTAGGGTGACTGTGTCCGAAAACGACCTTTTAGCTGCAGCGCAAGGTGAGATAAACCTACTACACCCTAGAGTCTCAATTGGAGCATGTGATTGCATTTTGACCTAACATTAGTAAATGTGGTTTGATTGTGCAGAAAATGTCATCCCACAAAGCATTGTTGCAGCATTCACACATGACATTTTCATAAAGGGTTGTCAGATAAATTTCTCAGTGGATGAACCTCATGAAGTAGAAATCAGTAGTTTGTACCCAGACGAGACCTTCCGAACCATGGATGAATGTTTTGATGAATTTGCTGCAAAAATAGAAGACAAGTGCCCTATTGAAGCAAGTCCAGTGATGAAGAATGTCACCTGAAATGGTGCTACAAAGAATGACACCCAAGAGCCTATAAGCAGATTTTGCGAATATCAGGCATCCCCAAAACTTATTCTGTACTGATCATGCTCATTATACGAAATAAGATAACTTTTTTAAGGCTAGAATTTACACATTCTATGTAATATACTTATAGTATGCACAAAATACACCTCATTATCACATTAACAGGACACAATGGGTTAGGATGACGATTCCTACCCGAAACCTTGGGCTTACATACATGGAACTTAAAGAGCCCTAAAAAAAGGTTTTACAACAAAGAAGTTTACTCAAGAAAAGATAATGTATTACATGAGATATCATGTAACTGCCATATGTTCTTATATTTCCTAGTTTGTCAAGCCAATAGAATGTACACAATTTCATGGTGCAGAGCTGGTCAGTTATCATGCAAACGAAGGTTTCAGTTTATATACAAGTCCTTGGTGCGTCCGACAGATCTATGGTGAAATGACTAGCTAAAAAATGCACTCACCATCCAATGAAAGCTTCTTCAGTTCTTCAACTGGAGAAATTTGGCCAAAATATGCATTCACCACTGGTAAACAGCTTCCCCGCTGGGAGAGGTGATCATACGTCATATACTGGCATACGCTCTTCAATATATACACGGCAGACAGGACACTTTTTGCACTTCTCAGAGCAGATGCTGATTACACGGGTAAAATGGTAAGTAAACCAAGCACTTCACTAAGACAGGTTCTTATACAAATCAGAATATCTAATCAGTGATGCATCATTCAACTTCTCTGGGGGGGAAAATAGAGGAGCAAATTGCTTGTATGCGAAAGAAAGTATCAGGTAGGAAAAATACCTGCATATAATGTGATGCCTACAAGGGAGCAAAACAGTGTCTATCTGTTCTTCAAAGCAAACTCTACAAAGAATTTTCTCCTGAAAACAATCAATATTCAAGTCATGACCAATATACATAAATACGAAAAGAGAACATGAGGTGCCGATGATGAAGCTAACCGCCCTTAACCAAATAAAACCAAAATAAAAATAGCAGAAACAATTGTGCAAAAATGACTTTCACATTGGAGCTAATCCAGTTGGTGAAATAAGTAGGAAGAAATGACTGGTAAGGCTCTAAACTGATCTGAAGTAACATATAAGTTTTAATTGGGCAGTCTTATGATGCTGATCCCAAAACTTGCTCTGAAAATCTGAATACAATGGCAGAATCATGGAAAACTGAACACGGCAAAACTTTATGCCAGACCATCTTAAATGCCCTTGTTCCAAGAAAAGAAAAGATGACAAAGAAAAATATGAGCAAGCTTCATCAAGTAAATGAAAAGTAGAAAAAATCCATTATGAATTTGCACACAAATTAGATACTAAATATGTGAAACAGAGCAAGCTAAAGGGAAATTGCTCGAGCAGAAAGTTTACTGCTAATCAACTCAACAACTAAACTGCTGCAACCAAAAATTGAAAAAATACCAAAGATAAGAAAAAGTAAAAGAGAAACTGGTAAAGATATTTCCACAATGCAGTAAAATTTACATTTTGGAGTCTTTCAAACTCCTCCTGACTAAATCGTGTAATTTCTGTTTGTTCATTTAATGCTGCCTGAAGTCTCCATATCTGGAAAAATACAAACAAAAACTTATTATTATCACAACTACAAATGACAAAATGACAGGATATGAGAGCAAGATTTGCAGTTAAGAAAAGAAAACGAAATAAGTAATGTCATCACCTCATCTGCAAGATCAGATTTGGGTACTTTCTTAACAGTATCGGGTGAGAACGTGTTGTATCTGCACATAAACAAGAGGTTGAGGATCGATGGAAAGGAGTTGTATCTGCAACAATAAACACAGACAAAGTATTCCCCGACCATCTACGTGTTGAGAGAAAAAAGTTGTCTTAAGTCCTGAAATCTCTTTTACTATAAAGGTAGAGAAGCCCATATTAACTTATATGATCCAGTTAAAGAAAATAAAACTAAAAAAGTTTTACGATGTAAAATACTGACCCAGAAGTTGCAGAGTAATAAAGACGCGCTTGTTCTTCTCTACTTGATTCATCAATCGACCACCAACCCAACAACCTGTCAAACAGCAATTCCATTTCATGCAGCCACAGAAAGAAAGAAATATGTTAATGAAAGATATTTAAAAAACAAATTGTTAATACTTATTCTGTCAATGATCAAAAGCATCTGAAAGAAGCATTACCTTGACCCATGATGCATGAATCCCAAATAGTCCCTAACCATAGTGGACAAACTGGAGTACATTCTTGCACCAGTGTCACTATGCACGAGAATAATGACTTTCTCCAAAAGTCGATAGATGGCAAACAGAAGCCCAGCTCCTTGCAAAAATAGAAGGGGAGCAAACAAGAGAGGAATTGGGATACGTCTGGCACTGGTTGGTGTCCCCTGAAGTCAAAAGAATCTATCTCAGGATTCATTCCAGGGTACATTAAATGAAAGAAACTGTGTAGATGTACCTCTAATCGCATAAAAAGAAGGATTTGGAAACCAATCAGAGGCACTTTCATAAAATGACCACCAATGTCCTGCAAACTGCACACTCTGCTTTGTTGGTAATCTTCATCAGATGATACCCCTAATCCTCTGTTCCAGCTAAGATATAAAGGAGTAGTTGAAGAAGAGGTGGCTACTCTGGTATTGAATCTTCTATGAATCGCAGGATTGTGCCACTTTGTGCAGATGAGGAATGCAAAGCACTCTGCAACACTGAAAGAATGTACACTTTATCATAACCTTCTCTGAAGAAGAAAAAACCTATACCAATGCTATATGTGGTAACCATATGGAATGCATACCCATAGTTGATAAACAAATCCCACCAACCCAAAGCAGCCACATCACCTGCATAGGGTTTCAGAAGTTTGAGTCTTAGCACTAAAGGAAACAACCAGACGTTACAGGCAACAACCAGCCTTCAGCATGGCCAGCTATATCGATACTTAATCAGTATCCTTTGTATCAGTGTAATTGATGAAACTGCCAATCAAATTTCAATTAATCACTGAATAAGAAATTTACAGATTACCACAGAGCTTCAACAGAGTGAAAATTGTTGCAGCAATGAAGAAGACCATGGAGATTGCCACCCAGAAGTGCTGAGACGAAGTAAGTTCCTTGTTATTCGCGATAAAAAAAGAACTGATATGATAGACTTAATCAAAATGAGAGAAAATAACTCTGATATCTTAACCATAACCACATATAATTATAACAAGCATGCATATTTCAAAGAAGTAAAATGCATGCGCTGGGTGAAGAATAGGCAGAGAAGAGGACAAGGGGAGCAGGACGAATAGACTGCATCCTCAAACAATCTTGAAACCTCTATAGCCTAGTAGAAGTTCGTGCCAGCCTAATTATCCAATCTCACTTGAGAGATACTCCCAAACCCGAATGGAGGTGGTTGCATAAAAAATGGCATATTAGCGCCCTTGAAGGCACAACATAAGTAATCGACTTACAGGAAGTGTTTCCCACAATGCTTCATCACTCATGCTTTCATCCTCACCCGGCATTAGAGCCCTACACATCCTGGAGACCCACAAAAGCCAAGAATGCAAAATTCAAAATTTGAAAGTGAATCAACGAATGACGTCTTCATAAATGTAAAATAAACATAAGAAAATACTCTAGAAAAGGATCATTTTGAAGGTTAACAATATTATCGTGCTACATGTAAGTCTATGGCTTTCCAATAGGACTCCTTAATCGCTCATTGATAGAATACACAGAGAAAACAATGGAGGTATCTGGAATTCAATTGATTAAATTTTAGATTTCACATAGCACAAAAGTAGTTTTGCGAAGAAGTTATCTCACCTAACATTATCAACCAAAATCGCTGCTTCAAATGCTACTAAGGGCAAAAATACAATCTTCAAATTGACAGCTGCAAGGTACCAAGGTTCACGAGTAAGAAGTGTCTCCAGTGGCCAAATACAAGTCTCGTAAACATCAAAATGAACAGGGGTAACAAAATATACAGATACAATCAAAGTCGGGAAAAGAAAAATGGGGGACAGTCAAATATTTGTATAACTATATACAGAATAGCACAATCAAGTGGATTGCTAAAAACCATCCTTCCCAAAATAAAGTGCACAACCAGAATATCAACAGATATCTTAGCATGCACAATGTACAAGTTCCCAAAGGTTATGTTATATAGTTTAGAAGTTGAAAATTAGATACAATGACCTTGAAATTAAAAGGACAACACAAAATCTAACTGCAGATGAAATCAGGTAAGAATTCATCTAGGAGCAACTAAGAGAAATTTATTCAAGGTATATGACAGCTTAGTAGCTTACCATCAGAGTTTCCAAGATATATACAGAGTAGTAGTTCAAAAGCAACAAGCAATGGCATCGCCACAACAGCATGAAATGGTGCCCACTGTATGATGAAGAGCATAGCTTCGTGTTATGATATAAATATATGGTATCATTCAATCAACAAATCAAGAGCCATTTTCCTATTAGTTCCTTGAACAACAGATCCAAAGACAGAAGTACCGTACATGGCGATCATGAGGCATTGAAGGGGCAGGTAAGGAGAACCTGCCTCTTGCTACAACAGCATGAAATGACCACAGAGGAAGAAAAACGGACCTGCCGGAACAACAAAAGTTGAACAGTAACTTTGACTGAAAGATGAGATCTGAGTAGATTAATAATGGTCTCCAGCAGCCAAGGCTACTACATGCAGGAAGGTTGTTTAGGAGTCACAATCTAAATGAAGTGCCAATTATTTTCATGTTGACATCTGAACACTCACAGAAACAAGATGCTTTATTCTGCACAAATTTCACCTTCTATGACCTAAAGCCCAGAATATCATCCTATTCACATCATCTAATAAGAACTTCTAACCTTTTTTTATTTTTTTATGGCACAGCAGTACTTCAGCTAAAGAACGACACATGGATGAAATCATCGTTCATATATGGAATAATCTTACCAACTGGGATCATTATAAGAAACATTTTCATTACTATTCACATTTTAGTTCTTTCGAATGGCATAGCAGTACCTCAGCTAAAGATAGCACATGAATGAATTCACATTCATCTATAAACTAATCCTGCCAAATTGTCATCAAGTTGATTTAAGAAATGACACACATGTGAACAAGCTCGCAGCTCCAAAGTATCAAATTTAATTTATCTTGGCAAACAGAAGTTTGTAAAGGTTGAAAGCAAGCATATTCATACGAGGCTTTATCCAGTTCATAATAACATCCACACAAAAAGCAACTTGATTTCTACAGATAAGTCCATGTCAATTTCAAGGAAAGAAAACAGGTAACCAAACAAACACATCAAACAAAAGTTAAGCTACTTTTCAGGAACTGGGAAATATCTTTTCCCTTACTATTCCACAACTAAACAGACGTGACCTTTTTCAGTCGAATCAAAATACACTCTCAGTGAAAAAGAAGAAAAAAAACCTTCATAATTAACTCTCCGATTACCAAATTATAATGAACAGCAACTTCACTGTAATTTCATCAATTCCAAATTCCAAGAATTTTTCCCATCAAATATCAGAACTGCCTCAAGACCTTATGAACTCAATTAGTGCTGAAATAGTGAAAGTCGTCCAATTTCTCAACAACAAAAAAAAATCAAAAGTAGTAAATTAACGAGCCGCCGAAAATTCATTAAAATTTTGAGAAATATGTTATTAAAATAAAAAAGACAACTTTGAAGAACCCATTTCATTACTTACTAATTCGCAAGAGCAAACCCCAAGAATGAAACAAAATACTCACCACCAAGACCAATGAATGGCGTGATCAAGCTTGAGAGTAAGGAGCAAAGTGAAAGTGAAGAGAAACCCATGAGCTGAAACCGTTTGAAATGACTTGAGAACCCTTCTCCAGCTCATAATTCTCTTTGAAATGATCAAATTGAAGACTTTTGTAAGAGGGAAATTCCGAAGAGAAAAAAAAAGAGGGGAAACAGATGAACCCTGAACCCTCTACTTTCTTGTCAGGTTAGATCAAAGATTAAAAATAATCCTTAATCAACAGAAGCTTCGGCAAAATTGATATTGGACAAAGAACAATTACAAACAGGGATGTTTGTATTGTTTGTATCAAAGTTGGATCATTTGTGCAAAATTAAAAAACGTGGGCTATACGCAAATGTATTGGTTCTTCGTGTAGTTGGAAGCAAAATGTTGGTTGGGAGCTTGGAATATTCCTTCCTGAGGTTAATGCACACATTGTATATAATCATTCATTTATTCAATCCTACTTCCTAGTACAGTATTTTTATACACATTTTAAATACTTTCTTTGACATATATTAGCGTAGATAATCAAAATATACAGGGTGATCCAAATTATTTGGAATGAGGAAACTAGGAAACAACTCAACAAGGTACTTCCACCCTGAGGACAAATTTCAGAAATTCCCCCGTGATTTCCACTTCTTTTTTTTCTTCAATCAAGAAATTTCTTCGACCCCTTTTTCTAATTGGTTGCGAACTTATACGTGTTTTTGGTAATACTGAATTCGTACATAATACTCCTACACAAGTGGGAGTCAAGTGAAAACTTGGTGTTTAACTTAATAATGGATTTTGATTATCCTCTTTATATCTGGAGTATAAATATACTACAATAAGATAGTTTAATAATTACTCCCTCCCTCCCAAAATTATTATTCAGTTTAAATTTTTTTATTTCTAATACAATTTAAACTAAAAATGAACATCCAAACTGGACAATAATTTCGAGACAGAAAAAGTATTACAAATTGCAGTTACAAAAAGCACACTCACACATTCACACTATCTAATGTAAAATACTCCATCTGTCACTAAATAATTATCCAATTTAAATTTTTATTTTTAATACTACAATTTGTAATTGGATAATCATTTGAGCACTAGGGAAGTAATACTATAATACAACTAAATTTGTCATCTTCAGTAGACTTAGAGCAAAAATATGGCAATAACATGTCAAATTATCAACCACTAATCAAAGTTGTAAACATTAAAAGAAGACTAAATCCTGAAATTGATCCCCTATAATGGGTCAAATGCACATTGTAGTTTTCTACATTAACATTTTGCTGAAATGGTCCTTTACATTTTTATTTGTAACTTTTTTGTCCTTTTTTACTATTCTAATAGACTATTTGGGAGGTCAAGTTAATAGGAGTATTTTTTGAATGAAAACTATTTATTTTCCAATAATATTAAATAAAATGATAAAGAGAATAAGAAAAATGATGCAAATTCCATGATGGAGTGCAAAGATTTGACAATTACGAAAAAGAAAAAAAGTTAACCAAAAAAATCTGTTGCGAACTAAAACTACATATTCTTTTTTTTTTTTTATTTCATTTTGTTTGTTAAACTAAAATAATACCATAAGTCAAGAGATTCATTTTTTTTTTTTTTCATTTTGTTTGTTAAACTAAAATAATACCATGAGTCAAGGGTGGGTGGCCAGCTGCCAGTCTGTGCAATAACGCCCCTCGATTTTAATTTTTTAAATAGTTCTGATTCAAATTTTGTAAAAATGATTACAACTATTTTAATTAATTTATGTAGAAAATACAGAACAATGTTCTTTCTATATTCAATAGATATAAAAAAAATGAAAAAACAAAAGTATATATATCTCTTTTACCCTATTAAAGCAGAATACAGGATGTTGATGTGGCAACTTCTTATTAAAAATTTTTGGCTCCAAATACACCATATTGCATTAACCATTCTGCTACGTGTCATCCCTTTTTCAAAGAAAAAAAAAATTTTATCCGGAGAAACAAAAGTTACTTTAAAAAAATAGCTACACAATTTTAACTCTTAACATTTATCATTTATCAATCAAATTAAAATAGCATTTAAATTTGCCCATAAACTTATCCCCTTTATTACTCCACATTTTTTTGTATGATTTCTGCATCGTTGTATTGTTCAATATTTTTTCTCCTTTGGCAGATGATTTTTTTATTTTTATTTTAATTTTTGGCTAAAAAGGGAAAAAAAACCAAATGTGTAGCTATTTTATTTTTTCCAAATTAAAAATTCATTTATCAATTAACACAAAAGTAAAGTAGAGGGCGTGCCCGGGCCAAGCATCTAGTATATATATACACACACACACACACACACACACACACACACACACACACACACACGCTATGTTAAGGAGAGTTTTTTAATCGACACGTATCACTCAATTAGATAGTAGTTCAAAGCCACATGTCAAGTTCATAGTTTTTTTTTTAATTGGTTTCTAAGAATGATTTTTCGCACATTTTCAAGCAGATTTTTTTTTTAAAAAAAATATCATAAAATTTATTTTAGTGGATGAAAAATCATTGAATTGCAATATTTTTTAGAAAAATCTAACCCCAAAAAAAATTAATAAAGAGATATTTTATAAAACACTATATATCTTTACATTTATTTGTTCCTTTTGAGTTTGCTAAAACTTTCATTTTGAGTTTACTAAATTTATTTGTAAAAGTTTACAAAATAACACTGCTAAGTTATTGATTATTACTTCTAAAGTTTTACTACGATGATTCGTACTAATATTTTATCTTTCAAAATATACACTATCTTAAATATGAAATAAATATATATAAAAAAATATGAATGTAATTTACATAACAAAACACGAACAAGAGTATTTTATCACAAAATCCGACACTGACTTTTTCATATTATGACAATAATGCTCGGCTCACATATAATTATAACTTTATAATCATAGGAAGTACATGTAAAATAGTCCGTGCAACGAATAATTTTAGTTTTATTAAATTCTATTAAAGGTGATAATTCATCATGCTATAAAACCCCTTAATAACAATAAAAGTATACAAATTAAGGCCTAATTAATTCAATATCATTAAAAATATATATTGAAGTTAAGACCCAAAATCCGTAGAAAAAACAAAGTCTAAAATGAAGTTTCCAATAGGTAGAAAAATTAACATAAAAAGTAAAATAGTCAAATCTAATCAACCGGTTCAATTCAACATGTATGCTCAAAGCCTCAAACAAGCAATAGCGGATAACAAATCTACATTAATTTACATTAATGATACTAATTTTCTCTTTCCCATTTTTTTCCATATACTAACAATGTATAGAAGGAAATTTTTTTTTTTCGTATATGTAAAATCTATTAAATTAAGAATCTTTTGTTCCCAATTTCCGCACCTAAAATAAATCTGAAGAACTATATTTGAGAGTCCCATAACGTTATAACTTCTAGCGGTAAAAGGTGTACTATAAAATATTAATGTAGCTTTAATTAATTTGATATAATTTTTTTTCATACATTCTTTTTTAGATGTTAGAGACTCGCTCCATTAATTAAATTTCCCACCAAGTTAATATATTTCACCTTTCCTAAAAAAATAAAAAAAAATAAAAAATTCCCACCTTTTAATCAAAATTATTGACACAGCAAACAAATACAGTATCTAAAATGGACTTGCATTTTAGGAAGGAAGAAGTAATAGTATCTCACTATCTTGCACAGCACCGGTGGTGATGACGACTTCAAATCAAAACATTTCTACGATGAGTATGGAGCACAAATGTGTTTGGACATTGCGGGAAAAATAGATTAGTACTTTTTAAATCATGTCTGTACACGGTAATGCACATGGCCTATTAGCTCAGTTGGTTAGAGCGTCGTGCTAATAACGCGAAGGTCGCAGGTTCGAAACCTGCATGGGCCAGAAACTATAATTATTTTTTTTCCTTTTATCCCCACCATCCCTTCGGCCATTTTTTTTGCATGGGCCAGAAAATATAATTGTTTTATTTTAAATCGTATTGGGTTGGGCCTTCAGCCTTTTTTTTCCCGTTTTATCCCTTGCCCGCCATCTTTTCGGCCATTATTATTTTTTATTTCGTGGGCCTCACTAATACGTCGCCTTTTCAAACCTTCTGCAACCTTTTTCCTCCCAATCGATTCCAACACTTCTATTTCTTCCTCCATTTCGGATTGAATACACTGCAATTCTGCAAAACAAAAAAAATCATTAATTATGTCTGCCAGCGAATACACTGCAATTCAGCAAAACATGGAAAATCATAGAGTTATGTGTGCTAGAATAGTTGGGGACTTTTTAAATCTCGTAGAGGATAATGTGTCAAAGATTCTTTACCGGTATGCCAGACGTGGTCGGCTCATCACTTTCATGTCCGTCATAGCACCGCCGTTGAGTAGCGGCGGTTAGATTTCTTTCCATATCGCTAGAATTTATTGAGGAGTGTTTTTGATTATTAGGAATTTAAGAGAAATTCTTTTGTAGAATCCCTCCACACCAAGGGCAGTTCAACGTTAAATGAAGCCTAAAGTGAGTATAAAATTGAATATTTTTAAAAATTTAAAATACTATCTAAAGTTAATACTCCTCATGTAAAATTTATGTGAAATTAGTTAATGTTTGTTTTAATTTATGTTAATATTATTTTGTTAAAATTTTTTGAATGTAAAATCTTTAGTTACTATTCCTTAAAAAATCAATTCATTTCGGGTTTTTTTTCCTTCAACTAATGACATTGTCAGAATGTATTAAATTATTACAATTTGTTTATTTTGCAAAAGTTTTTTCTGGACAAGCAACTGTCATGGTAACAGTTGACATTATAGAAAATGTAAATTTTTATAATTAATTATATCCATTAACATTATTGTAATCCTATGATAAATTTTCGCATCAATATATCCAATCATCTTCGTGTTAATGGAATTTGCATGACTAAAGAAGATATTTCATGTTAACTGATTTTAAATTTACATTATCAACATAATCTAATATTGTTTATATTTTAAATTGGTCGAGTTAATTTTTTACCTTGTATAAAAAAAAAGAAAAAAATATAAATTTTCTTATTAATGTTAGATAAATGGGGACCTTATTCAATACCGGGGCCTAAAGCAAATGCTGTACTTGCTTTATTGTAAAGCCACCTTTGCTCCACACAGAGAATGAGGATGATACCGCTAGTGAGCCAAGATTTTGAGCTGAGTATGTTCCGGGCGGCAGTCTCTTATGGGTTGGGTCGCCAAAGAGGGCGATTTGTGATCATGACCGTGTCAACCTCTTGAAGCAGGAATCAAGAATTTGGGGAGCTTTTTGTCACCATTGCCAGACTCTTCGGATTTGGCCGTCAAGATTTGACCTTTCTTCTATGGTCTTCCGATAGTCACCTAATAGATCCTTCACGCTCTTTCTTGCTTGAAACATTTTACCGCTATTGTCAAATTCTAGTGGTAACAATTATATTCTTATATTTAATCTCAACCACAATTGATGGGTCTCCTCCCTTTGTCGAAGGGTCAGGAAAGTTTTTCATCCATTGGAAGAGTTGATAGATAGCTGTGTGTTTATTCCATCTCTGGTGACTATGTGATCAGTTATATTTTTGAGGGTTATCAAGTTTGGGTAAGGCGTCTCTTGATTTGGTCTAG